TGTGTGTGTGTGTGTGTGTGTGTGTGTGGTGGTTGCTTTTGGTTATAGCTGTGAGGTTTTGTGTGTGTGTGTGTGTGTGTGTGTTGTGTTTGCTTTTGGTTATCCTCCACAGTGCTTGGTGCTTGGGCAGGGATCTGGCAGGAGCCACTGGACCTGTTGTCATCAGTGGATACTGACTGATGGTGTCCCCATGTGTATCAGGAGTAGAACTGCCCTCCATTGGATTATCCATCATTCCTTTACGGGTCTTAGACCTTCAGGCTTTCCTGGCACCTCTGGGTGCTCTTGACCTTCCAACTGTTATTAACAGTTGACTGTTTAGCCATTAGCACCACCTAAGGTCTCCTGTGGGAGCCCTAGTGGCTCGGAGTGTTTACCCTTGGGCTGCATCCCCAAGGTCAGCTGTTCGAAATCACCAACCACCCCACTGGGAGAAAAATGGGACTTTCTACACCTGTAAACAGTACAGTGTTAGAAACTCACAGGGGTAGTTCTATCCTGTCCTATACTGTCACTAAGTCGACGTCAACTCAACGGCAATGAGAAAGGCATAGTGGGCTTCTTTCGATATTCTTTCCCAACACCCATATCCAAATGCACCCATGCTTCTGCCTTGCTTTTCACTTTCCAGCTTTTACATGCATATCAAGTGGTTGAACATACCATGGCTTGAGGAGCCCTGGTGTTGTCATGAGTCCTGCGTTGGGCTACTACCCACAAGGTCATCAGTTTGAATTCGCCAGCTACTCTGCAGAAGATGAAGCTTTCTACTCCCATAAAGGTTTGCGCTCTTGGAAAATCCACAAGGACAGTTCTACCCTACCCTCTAGGGTCACTGTGAGTCAGAATGGACTTGATGGCAGTGGTTGGTGGGTGGGTTGGTTGGTTGGTTGGTTGGTTGGTTGGCTGGCTGGTTGGTTGGTTGGTTGGTTGGTTGGTTGGTTGGTTGGTTGGTTGGTTGGACGGACTCTTAGTGACTGGCCTAATGCAAAAGTCAGAGGTGCGAACCCAGAGGCTGATCCTGGAGGGAGAAAAGGTGCTTCCCTAGGGATTTCAGCCTAGAAAACCATATAGGACGGTGTCCTCTCTAAGTCTGAGTCGGCTGATCTTAAAGTATATCCTGAACCATACTCTTCATCTTTGAGGATAACTCTAGATATAGATTAACCTGTGATGTGGGCACTATCAGAGAAAATGCAAAAGTCCAAGAGTTGTTTGCTTTGGAGCACTAAGGATTTTAAAAATTGTGATAAAATAATATGACTCAAAAACTCATAAGGTTTTAGACTACAAAGGGAAGCTTATGTTATTTATAATCTTAGCTCCAGTATCCAAATAACAGGGAGCTGAGGACTCAGTGCAGGTGATTTTATTATAAGCAGCTTTGTCAGTTAAGAGGCATCTCTTATTCAAGTTATTTTTATTGAGGTAAATTCATTCGATGACAGGTTTTTCCTAATTATGTTAGATGGGATTCTGAAATATTGCCTGGAATACAGCCAAGTGCTCCGGAGCTTCCCATAAAAGTGTACTTTTGTTGTTGTTGTTTCATAATCAAATCGATCCCTTCCCTTCATTCCTCTTATATATTTTCACCTAGATAATTACATAAGCTTTTTAACTTAACCTCTTTGCCTCCAATCCGGTGCTTGTCCAATGAGTACTTTACATTGTTGTCAGAGTGGCACTGTATCCATAACATACATTATTATTATTATTATTATTATTATTAACACAAGTTGACTCTGACTTGCACTGACCCTACAGGAAAGAGTAGAACTACCCCTGTGGATTTCCTAAACTGCAAATCTTTGTGGAAGTAGAAAACTTCATCTTTCTCCTTCAGAGAAGCTGGTAGTTTAGAACTGCTGACCTTACGTTTTCTCAGTGTCAGATGTAGAAACTGAGGAACAGCTAAGTAACTTGCTGAATTGACACAGCTAGAAAACAGTAACGTTCTAACCCAGGCTTAGAGATTCAGAGTGCTCACACGCTGCATCAAGCTATGTATATCTTAATCTAAGCATTTCACATCCTGACGTAAAACACTTCAGTGGTTCCCACTACAGGATCAAGTTTGAGCTCATTGGCTTGACACATAATGTCTTAAGGGGTTTGACTTTTTTCCTCCTTCTAGAGCAGTGGTTCATAACCTTCCTAATGCTGAGACCCTTTAATATAATTCCTCATGTTGTGGTGACTCTCCCCCTCAGCCATAAAATTGTTTTTGTTGCTACTTCCTAACTGTAGTTTTGCTATTATTATGAATCAGGCGACCCCTGTGAAAGGGTCGTTCAACCCCCAAAGGGACTTGCGGCCCACAGGCTGTTCTAGAGCTTCAGTGTCCACTATTCCTCACTAAATTCTTTATATTCCTCTAAAACCAAACTGCTATGTTACATCATCAAACTCAGAGCCAAACGCAGTGCCATCAAGTCAATACCTACTCATGGAAACCCTATAGGACAGGTCAGAACTGCCCCTGTGATGTCCAAGACTGCAAACCTTTGTCTTCTGCTTGTGGAGCAGCTTGTGGTTTCAAACTGCGGACCTTGTGGGGAGCAGCCCAACTTGTGTTGCCACTGCACCATCATTACATAGTGCCGTCTTCACATGTATGTGCATGTACTATCACCCCTTCAGTTTACTAACTTCAAAATCAGCTCAAAGATTGCCTTCTTTTGGAAACATACTATCTGCATGTCCACTTCCCCTGTTATCACAGGCTCCTGTGATGGTTAATGTAGGTGGCTAGGCCATGTCTCAGTATTTTGATAATGATTGTATAATCCTCTTCCATTTGGTGATCTCATGTGAGCAGCCAGTCCCCAGACAATTTCCTTGGGAATGTGGCCTACATCCGATATATGTATATGGATGGCCTGGAAAAACTTGCTGTCTGCCCTACATTTGTCTTATCCTCTAAGTTAGTCTAACTCTAACACGCTGGTTCTGGATTCGAGAAGCCTTCGCCCAGCTCCTTGATTTGCAAATTTTGGATTAGCCTGCTCCCACAACCCCATAAGCCAGCAGCCTGGCCTGATAATTTGGGGTTTGTCCACCCTTGAAATCACGTGAAACAAGGGAAGCCTCCAGGCTACCACCTGAACCATTGATTTGGGACTTGCCAGCCTCCACAATTGTGTGAGGCAATTCTTTCAAATAAACTATGGATTCATATGCTCCACTGGTGGACTCACCTGGCCATAATCGTTATAATGCCCTCCCAAATGACTGAGTGGGAGCATGTACATAAGGTGTATGGAAACAGCAACCCTTTGAGAATCCACATCAGATTTGCTGGCACAGTTTCCTCGCATGGATTTTACAGATACAAGAAAAATATGGGTAATTTATAGGAGAGTGGCCAGAAGTGATTGGGAAAGGACTAGCAGGACAGAGATGCTTAGATCAGAAATAGGATCAGAATGTAGCGAACATTGACACAGAGGTTCTAATGCAGCACTATAGGAAGTTGCATGGACCCATGGACCCATGGAAACTCCTACTTGTCCCCAAGTTTTAAGGAGTCTGAAACAAATTTTATTCTGTTCACCTCCACTTGGAAGAATTTAATGATGGACATTCCCACCTGGGACCATTTGATGCAGAGGCTCGGCTAGTTGATCAATAAAATAAATCAAGGTTCTAAATGTGCCATCTCAGAAGCAGGAATAGAGCACCCATTACCATCAAGCAAGAAGAATCAGGTGTGGAACACATTCTGTGGGCCCCAAGATCCCTGCGAGGTGAACCTCCTCAATCCAGGAGACAGCTGTGAGCAGCAGAGGAGCAGCAGCAACAGCACTAAAAGCCCAAGATACAGTAGTGGCCTTCCTGCCTCGCAGAGCAATGAAAGCTGAGTGCCTTCAGGTGATAGATAGTCTTGCTTGTAGAATGGAATACCTCCAGGCCCTTAATTAAGGCAGCAAAGCAGACCCGGGAGGGAAGCTCAGGGAGAAAGCAAAGGGGGCCATTGACACCCTGGAGGGTCTTGGGGGAAGAAGGAGGTGGGGAGAAGGGTGTGGTGAGCAGAAGGCACCATGGCCTGGGGAACAACTAGGGAATTGAAACCAACATCTAGGAGGGTGTAAAGATCTTGTGAGTATTAGAACAGCACCATTCTAGCTGAGAGGAAGTACTAAGAGGTGGAAGAAGGAGGAAAAAAGTGATGGTGGGGCAGAAGGCAAAAGGAAACAGAGGTAGGCTCTAGGAAGCAAAGCTCTAGATAGAGGTATTAACAGAGATGGATACTTCTGTAAATACATTAATCCATAAAAATAGAGGTATTGGCTTATGTACATGTATTTATAAGGCAATACACTGAGGCTGCAGATGGGCCTTGGGCCTCAC